CCAAATGAGAGCCTCCTGAGTTACTTTTACATGACTCTAGTAGTCTCTGATGGGCTTCTTAGGTGGCACAGTTCGTAAAGAATCTGCCTGCCAATTCAGGAGACGCAAGAGATGTGGGTGCCATCCCTGGTTAGATCCCCTGGAGTAGGAAATGACAGCCCATTCCAATGTTCTTGCCTGGGAAATTCCATGGACAGAGGAGCCTAGTAGGCTACAGTCCATGGGGTCACAAACAGTCAGACTACTGAGCACACACAGACACAGTGATCTTTAACAACTCTCTGCTATTGGACTGTAAGGAAAGCTGAGTGCTGAAGAATTGATGCTTTTGCACTGAGGTGTTGAAGAGGACTTTTGACAGTCCCTTGGACTGCAACAGATCTAAGAAGTCAATCCTAAAGGAAATCAGTCCTGAATATTCATTGGAAGGACTGATGCTGAAGCTGAAGCTCCAATACTTGGGCCATCTGATGTGAAGAACTGACTCATTGGAAAAAACCCTGATGTTGGGAAAGATTGAAGACAGGAGGAGAAGGGGACAACAGAGGATGAGATGGTTGGATGGCATCACTGACTGAATGGACATGACTTTGAGCAAGCTCCAGGAGTTGGTGATGGACAGGGAAGCCTAGCGTGCTGCAGTCTGAACTGACTGACTGATCTAGTAAAATAAAATATGGGCTTCCCAGGTGGCGCTAAAGAACTCACCTGCCAATGCAGGTTAGATGTAAGAGATATGAGTTCAATCCCTAGGTCAGGAAGATCCCCTGGCAGGAGGGCAGTGGGCAGGAGGGCACAGCAACCCACTCCAGTATTCTTGCCTGAAGAATCCCATGGACAAAAGGGACCTGACCTGCTGCAATCCATAGGATCTCACAGAGTCAGACACAACTGAAGTGACTTAGCACGTATACATAATAAGATATTTCAGGCTTATTTATATATTTCTAGCCTCAAAGATGGAGAAGACAATGGCACCCCAATCCAGTACTCTTGCCTGGAAAATCCCATGGACGGAGGAGCCTGGTAGGCTACAGTCCATGGGGTCGCGAAGAGTCGTACATGACTGAGCAACTTCACTTTCACTTTTCACTTTCATGCACTGGAGAAGGAAATGGCAACCCACTCCAGTGTTCTTGCCTGGAGAATCCCAGGGATGGGAGCCTGGTGGGCTGCTGTCTGTGGGGTCACACAGAGTTGGACACAAATGACGTGACTTAGCAGCAGCAGTAGCAGCTTCAAAGAACTTGGAATCAACCATTTCCCCAAGAAGCTTTAGTTTGTTTTGAGGTAAAATTGTATTTCAAAAATGTTCATTGTTACTGGACTGGCCATTGTTGGACAGAACTGGAAACTACATGTGTGTGTTTACTTTAAAATCTCATGTGTTCATATTGGTATTTCTACTTCAGGTTTAGAGTAATAGGGTTTTTCCTTAATCTCTTTTTTTAAAAAAAATCTCTTTTATATCACATTGTCTTTCTTCCACACTAACACTTCTGGTTAGCAAGGACACGGGAGATGAGAAATAAAATTTCATAACTATTTGCTTTGTGTGCATGCTCACTCAGTCACGTCTGACTCCTTGCGACCCTATGTGCTATAGCACACCAGGCTTCTCTGACCGTGGAATTATCCCAGCAGGAATATTGGAGTGGGTTGCCATTTCCTCCTCCAGGGGATCTTCCTGACACAGGGATGGAACCCTCATCTTCTGTGGCTCCAGCACTGGCAGGCAGATTCTTTACCACTGAGCCTACCTTTAAACACAGTAGTCTTAGAATAACAATATTCATACTACCATTATAATTAAAATCACATAAAATAGTTAAGATCTTTTTACAAAAGATCCTATTCCCTTTTTCTTTTCATTTTTACATCTTCATTGTCAGAGCATAAATCCATTTTATACTATACTCTCTCCCATTTGACTATCCTACTTTCTTAGTTTTATAAATAAGAACATATTGAATGCTCACTGCCAGTGCTTATGTTATGTTTTTTGAGTTATTAGTTGATGTTTTTTCCAGTTATTTTTCCAGGCAAAGTTCATCCTTTAACAGATTCTCTGTCTCATAAAAATGATATTTTCTGAGTTCTTGAATGTTGATCAAATTTTGTCTGTGGTTTATATCCTTGAAAGTCAGTTCTGCTGGTTATAAAATTCTTAGCTCACATTTTCTTTCCTTGAGGGTCTTAAATGTAGTATTTTATTTTCTTCTGGCATAAAACTTTGCTGTTGGAAAGTCTAATGATCATATATAAATAATTTTCTTTCCTTTATTTGCCTAAATACATAAGTATTTACCCCTTTTTTCTTTAGAATCCAATTTTCTTGGTTGATAGTATAGGTTTCCTTTCTCAAGAACATGAAATGCTTTTTTCAGAAAATTGCTTATATATTATGTGTATAACATATATTTCTATATCAAATACATGTCTCTCTATATATTTTAATAATTATATTAAATAAATAATTATATAAGTAATTATATTTATATAATAGCACTTTAAAGTTATATATATTCAGGAAAATATTCATGAATTACTATGCTTAGTATTCTTTCCATTTTCTTGCTTTGATTTTCCTCTTTAGGGACCTCTGGTAACCATATATTGAAATTTCTTTGCTTATCTTCAGTATTTGTTACCTTTTCTCAAAATTTTTAAAATCTCTTTTAGAAGATTTTATTTTGCATTTAAAATTTTTTCCTTCTTTTCTATTTCTTTTGACGCATTTGCTACTGTGTTTAGTCATTCCTATTTAGTCTTTTTCAAATGATTTTTCTTTTACTTATAATTCTTTTCTAAGTTTCATGACTTCATCCTTGAATTTCTTCTTTTTCTAATTTATGTTCTTTCATATCTTGCATCATTTTTAGTGCATTTTAATGTGTTTGAAATAGTAGATTGCAATTTTAATTTATTTTACAGGCATATCTTTCTGGGATGCTTTCAGTTTGTATAGAGATGATATGTTTTTCTTATAATAGTTTTATGTGAATTTTGACCTTGATAATTTCAAGTTGCTCATACTTAATGAGAACTTAATCTTCCTGAAGGCTTGGAAAAAGTCTAGAAGAGCAGATAATTCTTCTAGCTTCACAGAGCTCTCACTTCTCTTATTTTATGTAATATTTAAAAATACAGTAGGTTAGACACAAGATGACAGATATTGTATGATTTCACTTGTATGAATGATCTAGCATAGACAAATTCAGAGACAGAAAGTAGATTTATTAGGGCTGGGAGAAGGGGAGCATGGAGAATTCTTGCCTAATGTTTGTAGAGTCTCTGGGATGATGGAAATATTTTGGAACTGTATGTCGGTGATGGTTTTCAACATTGTGAATGTAATTAATGCCACTGAATTATACACTTAAAGTGAAAAACCTTTATGTTATATATATGTTTTGCAAAAATAAAATTTTCCTAAGATAAAAAAAGCAAACATTGTCTTGATTGGTGAGATAGCCTAGCTCGGACCATTGCCCCCACTTTATCTAGATCTAGATCGTTCCTTTCTTTTGTCTCTATTGCCCCCAGCCAGTTCAACTTTGATTACACTCTCAATAGCTTCTCCTTCATGAGGGTTTCTGTGCTGGAGGAGAGCCAAGCCAGGTCAGCTTCAAGTGTCCTCTGCACTGTCCCCTTCAGACTTTATTAGAGGTGGCTCCTTGCCACCTTATGGGGGCAGGCAGGTTATTTAAATTTTCCAAGCCTCATTTTCTTCATCTGAAAAACTGGTGGTCTAAGAATAGTCCCTGTCTCATAGTATTGTCATGGGGATTAAGTGATATAACATAAAAAAACCTTTGTTGATCTAAGTTGTCTGGCACATCACATATGCCCAGAATATATGAGCTCACCAATAAAAGTAGTATTCCCAAGAAGAAATTTAGCACACCTTGCTAATGAGTAACTAATTAATGTTAATTTTCCACAAATCTTGTTATGATTTATATGCTAAAATGTCCAACTCAATCCAGAGTTAAACTAAACTAAACTACACATACACACTGGGATACCCTCTGGTAATTAGTGCAAGAGGAACTGGACTTTGTGCATTTCCCTTCTTCTGACCAATGATAAATGTATATGTATCATACTATCAAAAGATTTTCCTGAATACCCCTGAATAGGAACATTTGTTTGGAAAGTATACACATTGTTTATCATCTTCTCTTCTGTTTATTTGTATTTGGGGTGTTTTCTCCTTGCATACATCTGACAATTATGAACAAAGCAGCACTAAGGTAATTGTTCAGTACAGTTTCATTTCATTTTAATGTGGCTGTCCTACTTCCCATTTAAACAATGTGGGAATGATGTGTAATTATGCATTGTTAGAAATTTGGGTATGTTTATTCTAAATTACCTTGAAGAATAATTGTCAGTAGTTCTTTCTGGAGCATACCAACTGTATCATCATAGCACCTGGCAGATACATTTTTTTAGATTGTTAGGAGGTTCATGTTTCTCCCTCCATCAAATACAAACAATGGATGTAGAAAGTGCTGGAGACAGTAGAGAGATAAGATTTTCAGGTCGCTTCAAGGCCTAGTTCATCATCTAAAGTTCTCCCTATCTGTTGGTTGATGCCTGCATTTCTTCTTTTTCTAAAAAGCCCGAGTCCTTGAGATGAATCAGGACTTAAAACCTGAAGGGAGACACTTGGTCAATGAAGGATGTCAGAAGAACTTTGATAAGGACAGCCTATAATGTATTGAGCTACAAGTCATGTGTGTAACTTCCAAGTTGACATATAATACAGATAATTCAGAATCAGTCATATCTCTTTGCCTTCCTTTGATATGATAAGCACCAGGAAGATTAAAAAGAGAGTTGCAGCATTATGTCTGTGAACCATGAGAACTGGGTCTTTAGAAAAACTATTCCTAGGAAGTGATTTAATTTGTATGACTTAAAGAGTAATACAATCAAACAGTTATTCTGTCCCTTAATTCTTTGTTTTCTTTTTTTTTTTTTTTTCACTGTAGCTTCGGAAAGCAGTGATGGATCACATATCAGATTCTTTCTTGGAAACCAACGTTCCTTTGCTAGTTCTCATTGAGGCTGCAAAAAGTGGGAATGAGAAGGAAGTGAAAGAATATGCCCAGGTTTTCCGTGAGCACGCCAACAAGCTGGTGGAGGTAAGTTAAGAGAGGCTTGAGACTAGAATTTGTATCAGTAGGTTTAATCTCTATAAATGGGTCTTGGAATTTCAACAAACCAGGCTTCTGTGATTTTCCTGGATCTTTCTTTTACCTTCTGGTGACTCCATCCTTTGTAAAGGACACATTTTCAGTAATCTCTCCTCTCACTATTACACAATTCTAAACAGATTCTGAAATGTATCTGCTAATTTTCCTCAACAGTAAGCAGAGGATGAAACAGGAGCAATAGAAGGGACAGTCCAAGTGCTGAAGACCAGCTTTGATTTGAAGAAGTAGAATTAAAACTTCCAAATGGAGATTTAGACACAGTTCCCTTTTTTATCCCATCTCTACTCACCCACCTAAACCCGAATTAGCTGGCCACATTATGAACATTGTAAAAATTAGTCTCCCCTCCCTAAAAGAGATGTTTGGAATCCTGGTAAAGACTCTTGCGGCAGTAGTAGGAGTGTAAATTCAGGTCCTAGGTATATTCTCTGTGTTAGAGACATCTGTAGAGGTTGCTTTATAAATGCAAAATTGTACTGTTTGCCTGAAACCCTTGAACTTCCTACTGTAGCCCCAGTGTCTTGGGGTGACATTAGACTAAAGAAGCTGAAAATAGAGTCATGCTTATAATATTATGGCAATCTTTCTGGTTCTGTCCCCAAATATGGGGCAAATACCCTATCACCCTTCACATTCCACCTACAAATTCCAAGATTTGGCTGCAATTCCAAGTTAGCCATTGCGGCATCCAAAGTCTTTCCAAGGTTGGCCTTGAAAGTTCTGCCACTTTCAACTTTGAAGAAAGAACAGCTGAAGAAGGGGCAGTTGGAATGACAAGGGGAGGAAGAAGAGGAAAGGAAGAATGCGAAATGAGTGCTACAAAAGTTAAAAATATTAATATGCAATATAATATTAGTATACATCATCCCAATATATAGAATTCTAGTATTTACATGACAGTTGCAGCACTTATGGAGAACATTAATTAACGACGTGTTGTAGCTATTATCAATAAAGACAGGGACGTGAGATTAGAGTCGTATGATGAACATCTCCTACTTTCAATTCTGCCAGTGTCCTTCTGTGATTCTGTGTACAGCCTCATTTGCAGATCATGTTTGAAGTTCAAATTTGATGCCCTGGGGAGGTATGAGGCCAGGCCCAAGTAGCTCCCTACTCTTTTTTCCTATCTTATTGACCCTGGACACAGCCATCGTTTCCCTGCATCCCATCTGTATATTTCACTGTAGGGGAATCCAGTCACTCTGGGTTATTCTTGATTCACAGCTTGTGCCAGCAGCAGAAGATCCAGGTCATTCAGACCCCACATTTCGGACTGTTGCTAACTTGCTCCCTTAGTTGTTCCTTTCCTTCTACCTGTGTGGTCCCTGCAGCCAGCAGCATTTTGGAATGTCCGGATGCCCAGGAGGTGCCAGGACAAGGGTGTACATTGGCCTCTGTTTGATTAGACATGAGCTGGACTTGAAAACATTTCTGCATCTTATGTGCTTCAAACAAGTGCATCACTGCTGATGCACACATGTAAGGAAACTTGAGCACTGGGCTTAGAGTCACACTTCTTCCAATTTGAAAGTGTCTATATAGACCTGGGTACTTTTCTGGGCCTTAGGTTCTGTGTCTGTAATATGAAAAATTTGGTTGTTACATTGATTTTCATATCTATTACCTTGTTTAATTCACTTCCTAATGCCAAGTTTTGACTGTATCCTGTAGGATTTCTTATGTATATAATCATGCTATCTGCAAATTATGACAGTTGTATTTCTTCTTTTCCAATCCCATGTTTTCTTTTTTCCTTGTATTATTGCACTAACAAAACCTTCAACTTAGAAGTATGATAATAGATATTTTTGTTACCTTTAGATCTCAGTGAGGAAATTTTAATATTTTACCATTTATTATATCATTAACTCTAGATTTCTTGTGGATACTTTTAGATTAACTTATTTGTCTTCTGTTACTCCTTTTTAAAGATTTTTAAAATTTATGAATATGTATAGAATTATGTCATATTTCTGAGACTATTGCATAATTTTTGTCTTCTTTATTCTCCTTTAGAGGGATCAAAAATACACTTTCCCTCAGAAAATAAGTTAGAAGTTATTTTTTCTTTCTGTTTTCTGGAAGTGAATGTGTGAGAATGGCATTATATATTTTTTAAATATTTGGAGAAATTCACTGATATAGCAATCTGAGCCTGGGTATTTATTTGAGGAAGAGTTAAAAAATTGTAGGTTCAATTTTTAAAGCATAAGACTGTTTAAATTTTCAGCTTCTTTTGGGTCAGCTTTGGTAAGTTACATTCTAAGAATTTGTAATTTTCATTTAATTTTCTAAGTTTTTGGCATAAAATTGCCCATGTCTTCTACCATTTTTAAAACATGTATTAGAATCTGCACTACTCTTTCTTTTTTTTTTCCCATTCATCCCTCATGTGCCTAATTGTGTCTTCTTTCTTTTTAATTAGTTTTGTAAGAGGTTGACCAATTTAATAATTTTTTCTAAAACATAGCTTTCAGTTTTGTAGAATTTTTAAGTTTTATTTAAGACTTGTCTTTGTATTTCTTATCTTTGTGTTTCTCTTATACAAGAATGCTCTTATCTTTGTATTTCTTTTTTCTGCTTTCTTCTGTTATAACTTATTGTTTTTTTCTAACTTTTTGAAATGAATAATCCTATCATTGATTTTTAGCCTTTTTTATTTTAGTAATATACACGTTTGAGACTATAAATTTCTTCCTAAACTGTGCATGTCTCTGGTTATTTTCTGCTGACCTAATTTTTAGCTCACTCATCCTGTCTCCATCTGTGTCCAATATGCTTGAAACTGATCTATTGAGTTCCATTTTTATTTAAGAATTCCCAGTTTTTCTGATATAATTCATTATCAGGTCATCTCCTTTAAAATATATTAATCAGAATTATTTTAAAAATCCAAGTCATAAAACTCCAGTATTTGAATCAATTTTGTTTCTGTTTTGTGGTTGCCCTATAGAGTGGTCCAAGCCAGTCCACAGTGGCTTCAAAGGAGACAACAAGTGATTTTGGTTTTTATCAGGCTTTGGGTTCTGGAGTCAAGATCTCCATGTAGGGACTGGAGTTTAAATGTTTCTTCAGACTCTACTTTAGCATAGAAAAAATGGTGGGCTTTCCTATCAGTTTGCCCAGTTTGTAGCATGAGGGAAAGGGGGAAGAGTGAGGCTTAAATATTGTCAGCAGCCAAACATTCAAAATAGAATTAAGACTCTTAATTATAATTAATCTCTTGCATTTGCCTGATGACTGGAATATGCCATGTTTCATTTAATTGAGTTTGTACTTGTTTAACTAAATGGTCATGTAGCCCTGTGAGGCTTTCAAAATGGAGACTTTAGTATGGTGACTGTTTGCTATTTGATTTTATCTTGAAGATTCTTTCTTTCTGATATGCTGGTTAATTTTTGATTGAATGGTAGACATTATTATGAAAAAATGTAGAGAATCTGTGTCTTAGTCTATCCAGGCTGCTATAACAAAGTACTACACATTCAGTGGCCTATAAACAATAGAAATTTATTTCTGACAGTTCTCGAGGCTGAGGAGTCCAAGACCAAGTTTCCTGAATAGGTGTATTCTGTGAAGGCCCTCTTCTTTGTTCATAGCTTCTCACTGTGCTCTCACATGGTGGAAGGGGAGAGGGATGACTGTGGGGTTCCTTTTTATAAGAACAGTAATCCCATTTATGAATTTCATAACCTATGAAACTCTCAAGACCTCACTTCCGAGCCATCACATGCGGTATGAGGATTTGAAAGTGATGAATCTTGGGAGGACACAAACATTCAGACCATAGCAATCTGGATGATTTTTCTCTCCAAAGAGAATTCATCCTGTCCTCTGACAGGCAGCAGAGAGGCAAACCACCTCAGTCCATTCGAAGACTTGAAACTTCTCTGATTTGAGGCTAGTTTATGACTTTCTAAGGTATACTCTAGCTTTCTTTTATCCTAGTCCTATGGAATAGTCATTCTAGATGCCAAGAGAGAATCAAATGAAGTACTTAGTATCCCACCTCATCTATGAAGTATTTACTCCAGTTTTTGTGTTCTCGTCATCATGATGGGTGTAGAGTTTGATTTGTTTTTGTATGCCTTTAGGGACAACTTGGCTCTTGTTATTTGTAACTTAATAGACAAAAATGGTGGGAGAAAGCATTTTCAAAAAAAAAAAATTATAATGCTTATTTTTGAATGTCCCTTTATTATATGGGCCCTTAGTTCCAAACCTCTGCTTCCTCGGCCGTCCTGTCCAGTTTTTGCCTCCCCAACCCTATGAGGTTGCTGAAAACTCTTAAAGAATCATTTTCCTTTCAGCAACAACCTTCTATTTGTATCTGTTTCTTCTTCCACAATAAGAATTAGCAAATCCCTGAGAGGAAAAGTGAAATGCAGAAAGCTGGGACCCCTTCAATGAGCATCTCTTTTTGATCTAGTCTAAGTTTTGACTCCTTTGGCTGATGTCTCATGCTTTGAAGCAAATTCTTTTATTTCTGCATTTCTAGTTGTTCTCAGCAGGAAAGTGAGATGAGTCTCTTACTAGGTTCTTTTTCATGGCTGGAAGTGGAAATTCCTGAGAGAACTGGTTGGGATACATTTGTGAGATGATTTTTGTTGTTAATATTTTTACTCAGAGATTTTTTTATTCAATGGAATGTGCTGTGCTTGGTCCCTCAGTTGTGTCCAACTCCTTGTGACCCCAGGGACTGTAGTCCACCAGGCTCCTCTGCCCATGGGGATTCTCCAGGCAAGAATACTGGAGTGGGTTACTATACCCTCCTCTATTCAATATTGGCATGGGTTGCCATTTCCTCCTCCAAGGGATCTTCCTGAATCAGGAATTGAACCTGCATCTCCTACATCTCCTGCACTGGCAGGTATATTCTTTATCAATGGTGTCACCTGGGAAGCCCCATTAATGTAAATCACATA